ACACACACACACACACACACACTCACACACATGCAAACACACGCACACACACACCCAGAGACACTCCTGTGAAGCCCAGCAGGCATTCATTGAATGTGGCTTCCCTAGGCTAGGCACCAAAAGGAGAAGAGAATCCTGTCTTGAAGGAACTCCTAGCCTGGTTGAGGGAGCCAGTTCTCATAGGAAAAAATTAATAGCCAGATCATCCCAGAAAATGAAGGGAATGAGCCCTACAGTAGATTAGTAAGAGTTTATCTAAAGAAAGAAGTCGGTTTTATGGTGGTAGGGGAATAGTTGGAAGAAATGCCTGGCGTTCTTTGTCACCTTAGAAGGTGTAGTCTTAAGTGTCCTTAGCATCCCAAGCCATTTAGATTTGGCTTTGGTGAGTGGATCTTCATTTTCACTGCTTTCCTATTTTGAAGCCCCAACAGTTCAGTGGTTCCTTGGTTCTCACACTTAAGTCCTTGACTTGTGAATCTCACAAAGGCTTACAGTGTTCTGTCTGTTTCCTCAAAGCTTCTACAACTACTAAGGGCAGCAAATCTCCTGCAAAGGTGGGTGACGTGGGCAGTAGCAGTACAGACTTTAAGATGGTATCCTCTGGCCTCACTGAAAACCAGTTACAGCTCTCTGTGGAGGTGAGTCCAAGCTCTTCTGACCTCCTAAGGGAGAGAAAAGAGTAGACAGGGTGGATAATGATTTAGCTCTCAGGCTGGGGCTTACTCTTCCTCCCTTTTTCCCAGGTCTTGACGTCCCACTCTTGTTCTGAAGAAGGCCTAGAGGATGCAGCTAATGTGCTATTGCAGCTCTCTCGGGGAGACTCTGGGACACGGGACACTGTTCTCAAGCTGCTACTGAATGGAGCTCGCCACCTGGGTTATACGCTCTGTAAACAGATAGGTAATAACAGGAGTACGCTCCCTCTGTCATAAGACTTGGGTTGTCATTTGTTTTCCTGTGTTCGGTTATTTGAGAGCAAGGCTGAGCTTTTCTTATCCCCACTATCTGGCATACGGCAAGTAATCAGTGCTTAGTGAAGGGAAAAGAGAATGCATGGGAATTGCTGTGCCCCCTTCTCCATTCTGGACACCCACAAGAGCTTCGTGATAAGGCTGCTGAAGCAGCTTCATCACCTCAAATATGTGCCTACACTATGTTAAACCTCAAGAATTATAGAGTCAGAATAATACCCTCTGCTTTTGTGTAGTTTTAAAGGCACAAAAATGCTGAACACTTGCAAATTGCCTAGTTTCTATCATCTTTTTCCCTGTTTTATTGAGAAGAAAGCTAAAGCCTGGGGTAATGAAGTGATTGGTTAAAAGAGTAGAATTTTCTTTCAGTATAGTTTCTCTGCTCTGTCCCACCCCTATTCCAGTCATGGGTCTCCCTAGATCTTGGCTACCTACTAATTCTCCTTGCTGCAGTGTCCCTGAAGCTGAGGTAGGTGTTAAGAGAGTTGATTGGCCTATATACTATATAACTCAGGGTATTCTTTGCTGCATGAGAAACAGTCAGGCCTCTGGCCTCTGACCTTTCTTGGCTGCTACCATTTATTTCACACATACGAGCCAGGCATTGTCTAGGCACTCTACTATGTAATTTTCTCTTAATTTTCACAGCAACCTTATGAGGTTAGGTAGTATTATTACCATTGTTAACTCCTTTGCGACTAGTGACATGAATTTAACGTCATTCCAAATTCTGTTCCTGGTTACCACTGACATGAATTTACCTCATCATGGAAGACTGCCTTTTCAGGTTTATAATCTGAATAAAATTACATAGTATGGAATGCTAGTCAGAATGGTGTCTGAAGCAAATACTGGATATGTCTGCAACTTTCAGCTGTATTGTGAAAAAGGTGACGATTTAGAAAAGACCATTTCACTTGTGCTTAACAACAGAAGTTTGCAGCAACCAGCTTCAGGTTTTTGTTTCTTTGTTTGTTTGTTTTTACCCGCTGTCAGTATTAGGAAAGTAAAAAATGTGCCGGTCACAAATGTGTTAAGGTGGGTGAGCAAACTGGACAGAGTCAATAAATTTGCCTGAGATTACTACAAAACCTTAATAAGTTCAAGAGATACACAGGATTTAGATCGTGGTCTGTCTGGTTCCAAAAGAGATATGTTTTCTCTTCTACACCAAATTGTATTTCATGTAGATTCGACACGTGTCTGTAGCCAGGTAAATGTCCCAGGTGACTGATCCATGACCATACATAATAAGCTGACAGAGCAAAACTCCTGCTTGCTCTGGGTTCTCTGCAGCTGAGCAAAGAAAGTGGCCTAGGCGGGTTTCTTAGAAAGGTTTGGCTTTGGACTATTTCACTAGGGGAAGTCTGAATACTTGTTGGCTCCTATACCTACCCAGGTACCTTGCTGGCCGAGCTGCGGGAATACAACCTGGAACAGCAGCGGCGAGCCCAGTGTGAAACCCTCTCTCCTGATGGCTTACCCGAGGAGCAGCCACAGACCACCAAGCTGAAAGGCAAAATGCAGAGCAGGTGGGTGGTAGCCACCCTTTGGCGAGGTTCTCAAATCTGGGACATTCTGAAAGATGGCTCTTGCTGGTTTCCTGGTCTTTTGTTTCTCTGGGCGATTTTCCTGTCCTGTACACACTTGACCCACTTTTTTCTACTTGTAAGATTTCCTCCTGAGGTTATTTACCCCTCTGGTTGACACCAGGAAGCCCTGCTTGCTCTGGGTGTTTATGCTTTGATGCTGTCAATATACGAAAGCCACCTCTACACTATCTAGGTTTGACATGGCTGAGAATGTGGTAATTGTGGCATCTCAGAAGCGACCTTTGGGTGGCCGGGAGCTCCAGCTGCCTTCTATGTCCATGTTGACATCCAAGACATCTACCCAGAAGTTCTTCTTGAGGGTACTGCAGGTCATCATCCAGCTCCGGGACGACACACGGCGAGCTAACAAGAAAGCCAAGCAGACAGGCAGGCTAGGTATGGAACTAGAGTGTCCAGTTGAGGGGCAGGGTTGGTGGTGGAGAAGCCAGAGTCCCTGGAGGGGCAGAAGTTAACATTCTGTCTCCCTCTTCTTTGATCTTTCCAAAAGGAAAATGATCCTTTAAAAAAATGTTGATGGCTGTATGCTGTATCTCATTCAAGCTGTCTGCATAGGAAATTCATTAGGGGAAGTGGGAATTAAGGGGTAATGGACATCTGGCAGGAAATTTGGGGACCAACCTTTTGCTGAACAAGACTTAACTCACTGGGTGTACCTCCTTTCTGCTTCCTGGATCACTTCTAACTAAAACACTGCAGCCATCCTGTCTCAGCCATGGCCTGCCAAATCATTTGCCCTTTTTCCTCCTGTCCCACAGAACACTCTTACATAAAACCATCCGTCTGTCTGGCACCATGCCCATGCCCCCTGGCCTTATCTGTAACGGTAAATCTTAGTGCCTGATGATGAGTACTCTGAAGCTGTCTGAACTCAAAGACTTCAGCAAGACGCCCTGTGGCAGCCCAGGAGATAGAAGAGAATATTGGGCAATCCCTCTTCCTACCTTTATATCTTGTCTTCCTTTTTTTCTTTCTCTCAGGTTCCTCCGGTTTAGGCTCAGCTAGCAGCATCCAGGCAGCTGTTCGGCAGCTGGAGGCTGAGGCTGATGCCATTATACAAATGGTACGTGAGGGTCAAAGGGCGCGGAGACAGCAACAAGCAGCAACGGTTAGCATGATGCCTGTGGCCCCTCATTCATTTGTCTCTCCCCTCATCCCCCCACCATGTCATCAGTGGGGTTTCACTGCCTTTTACCTTGTATGCTTTTGCATTAAGTTTGCTATATGAATGCTTCTGGACAAAGGAGTTACTTTTGGTGTTTTCCTATTTGTGGATTGGTTTATTGGTTTGGTTTTTGAAGTTTGATTTAATTTAAAGCTTGGCTGTCATAATCCCACTCCCAGCTATTCAGTCAATTGTGGCGCTTTTGCAAACTGGCTAATGCTAAGTGTATGGGTTCTGAGGGGATATGGGATGAAGATTTTTTTCAGTCTCATGGGACAATGCAGGTACATCAGAGACATCTCAGGAATCCTACCCTTGAAACTCCCCCAAGCTTGATACACCTCCCATGTAGCCACTTTCATTGGGGTTCTCCCTTCACCTTGGCCTTGGCCTTTGCCTTTGTTCTCCATAATCCCTAAGTATGCAGGCACATTTTGGAGAAAACTTTCAAGGTACTTAACTAGTCAGCTCAGTTGTTGGGATCCCAGCACATAGTGACTGCAAAAAAAGCTAGGCATCACATAAGTATGCTATGGCACTCTCTCATAGTTTTCCTGTCCTTGTAACATGCTAGTCACCATCCCAAGATTCAGGAAATAAGGTATCCTGAGACCTGGCTTTTCTTTGTGTATAATTACTATTGGTTTTTCATAGAGAACGCTGTGAAAATCCTAGAAATTGGGAGCAGTGACTCTAGAAAGGGAAAATAGAGGTGTTATTCTATAGTAATTTTTTCTGCCCAGTTTATTTTCCATCACCCAATAAGACATTGACTTTTAAAATAATCCCACCCATGAGAAGTTGCTCTAATTCCCCTATTATTTTCCTTTCTGTTATCAGACAGAAAGAGCAAACCTACCTTCTGTCCGTCTGAGTTACATACACATACACAATATATACATATACACATGTATATACATATAGAACACCTGTCCTAGAAGAAGACTTGAAGTCTGTATCCAAGAGGCTGGTTCTGACTTAAGCACAGGTCTGGAGTAGAGTGCAAAAAATGTAGGCATCTAGGGAGCTCTTTGAAAAAGCTTGCAAAATTCAGGGTGGCGGACAGCAAAGGAGGTGGGAAAGCCATCCTTTTGTCCTGGATAGCTACAGTTCCCTGATCAAATATGGAATGCTTCCTTTCTAAGCTCAGTGTGTAAGAAATGGAGGAGCCAACCTCTAGCCTGTTCCTGAGGAAAGCAGAGTTATACCCTTTATGTGACTTTATCTCCCTTTTATTCAGTCGGAGTCTAGCCAATCAGAGGCATCTGTGCGGAGGGAAGAGTCACCCATGGATGTGGACCAGCCATCTCCCAGTGCTCAAGATACTCAGTCAATCGGTCAGTACTGTTTTCTATTTCCAGCCAAGCAAAAAGGAGAACCAATATTATGGAATGTCTACTGGATCTCAGTGTTTTCCCATTTGTTGAAGTGAACACAAGTTTCTGTAAATGTTAGCCAGTGTTTGATGACCAAAGGCACATAGCAATTCCTATAGTAAAGAAACTATGGTAGGATATTCCATGTAGGGATGGCATGTGTTTTAAATCTTGGCTCCCTCATAAGTCACTCATACAAGGGAGGGACCCAAAAAATGTATAATCTATTTTTTTTTAATTGTGTATTTATTCTTACATGTTTAAACCAGTCACCTTCAAAGTACTCTCCATTTGACCGTTTGATGCACTATACCTATTGAGATGCTTTTTCTGCTGCTCAAAACATTTTGATGCCTTTTGGTGCTTCTGCCGTTTTTTGTTTCACCTCTTCCACATTGGCAAAACATTTCCCTTTGAGGGCTTTTTTCATCTAGGGAAACAAAAAAAAATCACTCGGGGCCTTGGATGAATAGGGAGGGTGGGGCACGGGAGTCATGCAGTTTTTGGTTAAAAACGGCTGAACACTTAGCGTGGTATGGGCAGGTGCTTTGTTATGGTGGAAGAACCAGTCACTTGCATGCCACAGAAAAATTCGCTGAGGCTGAAATGCAGCCTCTCACAATGCTAGCAGGTACACTGATGCTGATCGGTTCCTAGAACACTTAACCTAGTAGGGAAAGCCTGTACTACAAGGGTCTCGCCCTCTTAAAAGATAGTTCCTGGATTTGGGGGGGAGGGATTCCCTCTATACATGCAATACTTTTTGGTACCCTTTTAACACATTCTTGTGGACTAAGTAGTGTTCTCATAGGACAACCATTGTTGTACTGCTGTGTTAAGTCATTTACTATTCATCAGGACTTTGAGAGATAGATGTTATTCCCTTGTTCTATATTCACTTTCTTTTGCCCAAGGTCACTTTAAAATCTGCAAGTGCCAGAGCCAGGATTCAAACCTAGGGCTGTCAGAGCCTTGAAGAATAGTCAGGATTTGGGTAGATGATGAAAGCAGAGGTTGGGAAGAAACCCAAACTAGGCAGGTGTGTGGTGGGGAAAGACATATGGAGTGGGGAGGGTTGGCAAAGAAACAGTTGTTTTCTTCCCCACCCAGCTGGTAAGGCTGGGTCTTGCTGCTTGGCTACTAAGAAGAGTTTAGAATAAGCCTCCAGTGGGTACTAGGAAAAGTAACAGCCATGGAGAGCCGTCTGTCACACTATGGCTTCTCAAAGTTTTAAACTTTCCCAGGACAAGATGACTAATTCAAAAGGCATCAGATTTAAGTCAGATCTAGTTTGGCCCTGTCGATTGGAAAATAAAATAAGGAAAAGGCAGCCAAGGGCAGCTGTCAGAATTCAGTGAGGATAGTGTCCTAAAACATACTTTGTGAGCTGGAAGGCAACCATCCAAAGTTCCTTCATTGTTGCATTACCCTTAGATAATCTGTAGGCTCTCTGGGAGCTAGAGAGGCAATAATTAGACTAGCACCATTCAGTAGAACTTTCTGCAGTAGCCACTAGCCACATGTGACTTTTGAGCACTTGAAATGTGATTAGTAAAACTGAGGGACTGAATTCATTGTTTTATTCATTTAAATTTAAATGCCATTCAGTGCCAACCTACACCTTGTTTTCAGGTGTTGCTCAGTGAGTAATACTCAGTGGCCAATGAGTCAGCCTATTTGATCTGTCTAGTAGCCTGTACATTTGGTCTGGGAAAAAATCTAAGTAAAGGGAAAACCTTGAGGCTTCCTGACTCTCCTTATTGTGTACCCTGTAGCCTCAGATGGGACACCACAGGGGGAGAAGGAAAAGGAAGAGAGGCCACCTGAATTACCCCTGCTCAGTGAGCAGCTGAGCCTGGACGAGCTGTGGGACATGCTGGGGGAGTGTTTAAAGGAGCTGGAAGAATCCCATGACCAGCATGCGGTGCTAGGTGAGTTGTGATCCGAGGGCCCAGGTCCCAACCCACTGGTCTTGTCTTCTCTGGTACTTTTTCTGCCAGCTTAATTTTCTTCCTTCCAGGTTAGTCTGTAATAAAAATTCAAAGGATTATTTTTTTCCCTGACCTCAGTATTATAAAAAAGATTTGCTTTTACTTGTAATAGCTGGTGTCTTTTATCACCCTGGAATCGTTCGTAATTTCTTCTTTCTTTTTTCTTTTTTTTTTTTTTTTGAGTTAGAGTCTCACTCTGTCTCCCAGACTGGAGGGCAGTGGCCGCTCCCGGCCACCGCAGCCTCGACCTGCTGGGCTCCGGCGATCCTTCCACCTCAGCCTTCCGAGTAGCCAGAATTACAGGCACGCGCTACAATGCCCGGCTGATTTTTTTTTAATTATTATTATTGTAGAAATGAGGTCTCACCAAGTTGCCCAGGCAGGTCTCAAACCCACGGGCTCAGGCAATCCACTCGCCCCAGCCTCCCAAAGCATGGGATTACAGGCTGAGCCACTGAGCCCGGCTCTTCTTTCATATTTATTGTTGCTATTTGTTTATGAAGGCAAAGAGATTTATATGTTAAGGCGTGGAAAGTAAAATGTCACTTTCTTGTCATTCCTACCCCCAGTGCTACAGCCTGCCGTCGAGGCCTTCTTTTTGGTCCATGCCACAGAACGGGAGAGCAAGCCTCCTATCCGAGACACCCGCGAGAGCCAGCTGGCACACATTAAGGACGAGCCTCCTCCACTCTCCCCTGCCCCCTTAACCCCAGCCACGCCTTCCTCTCTTGACCCATTCTTCTCCCGGGAGCCCTCGTCTATGCACATCTCCTCAAGCCTGCCCCCTGACACACAGAAGTTCCTTCGCTTTGCAGGTACAGGGAACTCTTAGGCCATCAGGTGTAAAAGGCTTTATTTTATACAGGGTATTTTCTTTTTTTATGAGTTGAAATCTCACTCAGTCGCCCAGACTGGAGTACAGTGGCCGCTCCCGGCTACCGCAGCCTCGACCTGCTGGGCTCCAGTGATCCTTCTGCCTCAGCCTTCCAGTAGCTGGAACTACAGGCGCGCACTACCACGCCCAGCTAATTTTTTGATTTATTGTAGAGATGAGGTCTCACCTGCCCAGGCGGGTCTCAAACCCACGGGCTCAGGCAATCCACTCACCTCAGCCTCCAAAGCGCTGGGATTACAGGCTGAGCCACCGAGCCCGGCTTATACAGGGTATTTTCATACAATTTGTCCTTAGCTGATTCTGTAGAGAGAAGGAGAGAACATGTGTGTGTGATGAAAAGTGAGGTGTATATATGACCCTAGTGAGGTTAGTAGGGTCCTGCTCTGGGATTATCCTGAGGCCATGGGAAACTAGGTAGAGATGGAAATGCTCAGGTTTATTCACACCTCAGGGTTGACCCCTGGGACCCATGATGTGCTGATTCCTGCTGTTATTTCTCCCCCTCAGAGACTCACCGCACTGTGTTAAACCAGATCTTACGGCAGTCCACCACCCACCTTGCTGATGGACCTTTTGCTGTCCTGGTAGACTACATCCGTGTCCTCGACTTTGATGTCAAGCGCAAGTATGTGCCCTGGATGTTGGTGGAGGAAATGAGAACTCCCCTCCCAGAAAGAAGCCAAAGGTGCTTCTAGGGCCAGAAGTTTCCCTTGGTGGCAGCACTTAGAATGTTGCTGGTGGGAAAGGAAGAGACTCAGTTTTGCCACTGACAACCGTTATGCTTAAATACCTCCTGGCCTTTTCCACCCTGCCTCCATTTTTCATCAGCTAAATGAGAGCCACATGATTTCTAAAGTCCCATTCTGTCCTTTGGGGTGGTGTAGGAGGCACAGGTGGCTGTAGGACACTGGCATCGGGGGGAGGGGGGTTTCCACAACACTCCTGGAGTCATCCCTACTCCTTTTCCCCTTCCTGTGCACATATATGTGCTTATCTGCTTGTGGCAGAAATTCCATGCCACAGTCTCTATAGGCCCTTATTCAGTGGAGATGGGAAAAGTCTAGAGTTGGAAATGAATGAGCTATCTCTTCCAGCTACTACAGGGCATTTCCCAACAGGTGGGGATCAGAGGTTAAAGTACTTGGAGGATGGAAGGAGCATCATTGTGGGTCTTCATCCTAATCAAACAAATGAGTTGGCTTTGCCACCCCCAATCTTGCTTTTCTTCCTTTCCTGACTCCCAAGATATTTCCGCCAAGAGCTGGAGCGTTTAGATGAGGGGCTCCGGAAAGAAGACATGGCTGTGCATGTCCGCCGTGACCATGTGTTTGAAGACTCCTATCGTGAACTGCATCGCAAATCCCCTGAAGAAATGAAGAATCGATTGTAAGGGCCTAGAAGACCGGGGGTGGGGGGAACCCTTTCTACACAGTGACGATGGCTTGCTCTGGCCTCAAATTTAGAGAGATTCTGCTCCTTAACAGGAATCCCTGCTAGGAATCTGGCTTAGATGATCTCACTGATCTGTCTCCTGAGCCTAGTCTGCTGGCTGGCCTTTTGGCTGAGCTACCCAACAATTCCCAGACAGACAGAAAAGTCTTTGGTGTTTACAAGGATACACCTGATAGTTCATGACAAGAGCTTTCACCATTGTTAGACTAGGAATGGGAAGTCTGCTGAGCAAATAGTACTCTGGGTTGGGGGAGTTTGCATTTGCATGGGTGGCCCCCACCAAATTGATAACTAACTGCTCTCTAGTGATTCTGAAGCCACCTTGAGGAGATTGGCAGTTTGCAATACCAAATGTAGGAGCTGATGAAATGAAAGACATACTGGAGTAGTTTGATTCCTCCCCCTCCCTCATGGTATATACTCAACATCCTCGTAACCATACAAGAAGTCAAGGAGTCTTCCTAGACAGATTGCCATGCTCCTCCACCACTTTAGAGAAATTGAATTCTAAGCTTAGTTCTCTCTAATATCACTTTTCTCCCCAATTCCCCTAAGTGAGGCCTCGTTTAGGCTCTTACACCTTTGCTATTGGTGTTTTCTGGAATATTGATGAACCTTTCCTGATATTTCAGGACATCTCCTCTGTCAGTGATGCATTCTTTTGTCCTAGATCCCCACCCTACCTCTAGGGTCTCCTGGCATTCTTTGTTCACCTCTTCATCTGACACTGCTCCCCAAATACTATTATTTCACAGCCTCTCACTCAGGCGGGTAATGCTGTGCCAATGACTGAATTTATTCTGGGCTTTTCAGTACAGCTCTAGTCTGTTTCTGCTCTCTTCTGCAGGTATATAGTGTTTGAAGGAGAAGAAGGACAGGATGCTGGAGGGCTCCTGCGGGAGTGGTATATGATCATCTCTCGAGAGATGTTTAATCCTATGTATGCCTTGTTCCGTACCTCACCTGGTGATCGAGTCACCTATACCATTAATCCATCTTCCCACTGCAACCCCAACCACCTCAGCTACTTCAAATTTGTTGGACGCATTGTGGCCAAAGCTGTATATGACAACCGCCTCCTGGAGTGCTATTTTACTCGATCCTTCTATAAACACATCTTGGGCAAGTCTGTCAGGTGAGAATGTGACATAGCCCTGGAACTGTCCTCAGCCCTGGGAGTCGTATCTTTTTTTTCTCATGTATCCCATCCCTATGCTGCCTGCCCCCTGCCCACCCTCCTAACCCTGACACTGTATAATTGTGTTTATCTAGATACACGGATATGGAGAGTGAAGATTACCACTTCTACCAGGGCTTGGTTTATATGTTGGAAAATGATGTCTCCACACTAGGCTATGACCTCACCTTCAGCACTGAGGTAGGTCAGGAAACCCCAACCAGTCTAGAAGATTCATTCTGGGGTCACCTTAAAACTGGCACTAGATAACCTCTCATGGTCATAAGGAAGCATTTTGACTTAGTAAAGCCCCATCAGGCACAGAGCAGTAGGTATCTATGACAGACATCACGGACAAAAACTAGAATTTTTAAAACAGTCCAAACTTTTCCTACCTTCACCTTTATTTTTTTTTAAGTGCTCTAGTACATAATTCTTCATTCCTAACGGTTACAGAGAAATTGTACAAATAAAGATAAACAGGAAAAAATATTTAAGATTACTCTTCCCCAAATTGTTTTCTGTAAAAATTATGTTGTGTTACATATGTTAGCCATGCCCTTTTCCCTTTCACCATTGAGTTGCCTTACTCTCTGCCTTCTTTGTATGTCTTAGAGCCAGAGAGTAATTTCCATCTTTCCTACTTTCAGCCTTTGCCAGGGGAGTTGTGAGCTAATAATTAATGAGAAAAGTCACTGTTTTGTATGGACGTAACTTGTCACTCTGCCCAAGACATGGCAAGGAAATTTGGTGTGTTCCCAAGTATCTGTGTTCCATCCTAGACCAAGCCTGGCAATGTATGATTGGCATTTTGATTGTTCTAGGTCCAGGAGTTTGGAGTCTGTGAAGTTCGTGACCTCAAACCTAATGGGGCCAACATCTTGGTAACAGAGGAGAATAAGAAGGAGTATGTACACCTGGTGTGCCAGATGAGAATGACAGGTAAGAGAAACATCCCTTAAATCTCCAGGTGCTCAATATGGGAAGAGGTCAAGCTTCATTCTTTTCCCAAGCATTTTTTGTTCTTATCATCTGACACAGCCACAAATGCCTTGCACAAAAGGAGTCAAAAATACTTCATCCTCTCTCATACAGGGTCCTGGAAACAATGATAGTTGTTATAGGCAGATCAGTCAGCATCCTAGTAGCATTAGGAACCTGATGGGGATCTCTTGCCTCTGACAGTTGTGTGAGTTAAGAAGCCATGTGGCTTTTTGGTTTTCTTTCCAGGAGCCATTCGCAAGCAGCTGGCGGCTTTCTTAGAAGGCTTCTATGAGATCATTCCAAAGCGCCTCATTTCCATCTTCACTGAGCAGGAGCTAGAGTTGCTCATTTCAGGACTGCCCACCATCGACATTGATGATCTGAAATCCAACACTGAATACCACAAGTACCAGTCCAATTCGATTCAGGTAAGCTGCTGCTGGCGTTCTTTCTCTCCCCTCCCCCACCCCATATGGTCCTCTTACCCTAGGCAGTGCTAGTTCTTACAATACATGATAACCAATACTCTTAGAGGAAAATGGTTGTGGATAACAGTTTGCCTGTGTTCTTCATTTTTCTAAAGCATATTTTCAGATGGTATTCTTGCTCATCTCACGAAGGAAAGGACTGAAGCCTGTCCCATGGAAGGGATTTGCCCAAGATTTTAAGTCCCATCCCATTTCCCAAATTCTATCCCCCGCCCTTACCCTTTCTAGGAGCTCACTACCTAATGCCAGCTTCTTGTGTCCCTGCAGATCCAATGGTTCTGGAGAGCATTGCGTTCTTTTGACCAAGCTGACCGTGCCAAGTTCCTCCAGTTTGTCACAGGTACTTCCAAAGTGCCCCTGCAAGGTTTTGCTGCCCTCGAAGGCATGAATGGCATTCAGAAGTTTCAGATCCATCGAGATGACAGGTCCACAGATCGCCTCCCTTCAGCTCACACGTGGTAAGAGGAAGGTTTTGTTTCCCCTTTTCAGCCAGCACTAAGATTGAGCTTGCATCCTTGATGCCTCCTAGGCCCCTACCCAAGGTTAGGAACACAAATATGACCCAGTCCATGGCCAGGCACAGTGGCTCATGCCTGTAATCTCAGCACTTTGGGAGGTCAAGATGAGAGGATCTCTTGAGCCCAGGAGTTTGAGACCAGCCTAGGCAACATAGCAAGACCTCATCTCAAAAAATAAAAATAAAAAAGAATTAGCCAGGTGTGGTGGCTAATTCCAGCGACTCAGGAGGCTGAGGTGGCTCTCCTGAGTCCAGTGTCGAGGCTGCAAGTGAGCTGTGATTGTGCTACTGCACTACAGCCTGGGTGAAAGAGTGAGACCCTGACTCAAAAAGAAAATGGCCCAGCCGTGGACCTTGGATAGCTCACAATTTGGTGGTTTTATGAAGAAGATGATAGGTGAGATTGATGGGCTAAACACAGAGTAGGGGTTGGGAAGACATTGGCAGGTGAACACCACCAGACAGCATGGTGTATTCCAGAGCTCAGCATGGCTGAAGGGGAATTGTAGGGGGCAGTGGGCTGAAAAACTTAGCGAAGGTCAGATCATAAGTGGCCCTGAATGCTTCTTTAGAGCTTGCATCTTAGCCTGTAGATGAGGCCATGTTGTTTAAAGAGCAGTGACAGGATCAGATTTATGTTATTGGTACCTCATGGCCGGTTTTGGAGACCAGATAGAGGCGGGAAGACCAGGCTGGGGCAAGATTGGGAGTCAGAAGAAGCAAGGAGTAGGTTCCCTTAGGGAGGGAGGGGTCACTGGGCACCATGGCAACACAGGGATTTGGTTATCATCTTTTGTCACAGTCTGATCTTTCTTCTTTCCCTAGTTTTAATCAACTGGATCTGCCTGCCTATGAGAGCTTTGAGAAGCTCCGCCACATGCTACTATTGGCCATCCAGGAGTGCTCTGAAGGCTTTGGGCTGGCCTAATAAGGCCCTGCCCACCTCTGTGGGGGTTTTTCTACCATTGTTGGACCTGGGGAGGGGGGAAACTAAAAAAGAACCAGAAAGAAATTGTCAAAAACCAATAAATGAAATCCACCAACTCACCATGTGTGTGTCCCAGCTGCCCCATCTTCCCCAGCTCATACCTTTTCATCCTCTCCTGTTCATCCTCTCTTCCTCTCCCATTTCCTCACCTTCTCTCTTCTTTCCATGCCGTCCATGATCCCCACCCCATGTGTTTAAAAGGCAGTAGCCTTTGCAGGGACCTGTTTGTCCCAACTGTTTGAACAGTGTGCTCCTCAGATTCTGTGTTCAGAAGGATTTGCTGCATTGAGACTTGAAACCTTTGGATAGGAGAAAAAATTATATATATATATATTTTTTTGTTCTGTTTGCATTTCTTAATTTGTGCTTGGAATGTGTTGATGTGCACAGCTAATGATTCAATGCGAGACAAGATTGGCGTCTGTGTTGTGGAGGTTTCAAATAAAGAGCACTCTTCATAACTCACTTTTCACAATGGAGTTTTTTTCCAACTTAAAAAACTCTTTAAGTACATGCTAGACATCTGGAGAAAAGACCCAAATGGACTCTCCAGAAAACCACCTTTGCCCTACCTACTCACCCAACTGCCTCCACCACTGGTGCAACTTCTTCCTTCAAAGTTGGTTTCACCACAGTCAGTAGAGATCAACAGCCACCAGGAATTGTGGGGGGAGTCTGTTTTTTAGAATGGGATCTGCACTTGGGGACGGTGATGGTGTTAGAGATTGCAACCAAGGATAAAGCATCACCTTGCTCCAGGGGAACAAACTGCAGCAGGTTGTACAAAGCATTCAGAGAGCTCAACCAACCAAGGTTTTTATTTTGGTGAGCCTTTATAACAGTCTCAAGTCTGGGCTCAGTTTAAAATTTTGATTTCTTATTAATGTTTTAGTTCATCTTTAATAAATTTTAATAAGTAAATAATTTGAGTAGCTCTCCAGAAGACTCTCTTTGTTTTTTTGTTGTGTTTCCCTCTTGTCATCTGTCTACCACCTTGTAGTCTCTTGTGGTTTTTATTCCATCCAGTGCTTAAAGCTGATCTAAGGGCTTCAGTGGGCCAGGCACAGTGGCTCATGGACTTTGGGAGGCCAAGGCAGGAGGATCACCTGAGGCCAGGAGTTCAAGACCAACCTGGGATATGTAGTGAGACCCCATCTTTCTCTATATAAATTGGGGGGACTTTGGTTCCAACCTTCAAAGAAAAAAATAATAAAAGATTAGTTAGAAAAATAAACCCAAGTGGTGCTTGCTTTGTGTGGTTTATCTCATTCTCTGCAGCACTACATCAACTGATTTTTCCTTTTGGCCTTGCCCCAAAGTATGAGCCTAGGAAATCCAGGAGTGTGTCCTGATCCCCTGGTCTTGGAGCAAAGGCTGCTAGCCATTTCCCCCTTCTTTTCAATATTCCCACTCTTCTGTACGTGCCCTGCTCTGACAACTGAAAAAACTGGTAAATCGCCCCTGTTCCTGATACTGAGCTTCTAGTCAGGGAAGGAAACAGTGACTCATTTTGTGACATGTAGAAAGGGATCTCTGGATGCAGAGAGCTGGTACCAGACCTAGCCTGGAGAATCAGAGAAGGTTTTCATTGCACTTGACTTGGGATCCTAAAGCTGTGTGTGGAGTTGAGATTAAGGAGGGAAGGATCACGTGGGTCAAGGCCGCAGAAGTTCAGTTGCTAGGGTGTGACTTGAGCCAGGGGATGGTGGCCTGAGGTGAGACTGAGAGTCCAGTGGGACTTTACAATGGAAAGGATAAGCAGATTAGGATTTGTCAGTTACAATTAAGAACTGGTTCTTTGAAATAAAGTAGAATAAAGCTCTGACATAAGTTGGAAAGAAAAGGGGTGCATGAGTTGGTGGTAGAATGTGGAAGCTGAGGAATACAGATGGAATAATCCTGAAAGAAATGGAAGCAAATCGAATCCAGTGGCATACTGCAAAAACACAGTCAAATATGACTTGCCTCTGAGATATGAGTGTGGTGTGATATTCATCACCTCAGTGTCAAATGAGGGGAAAAAAACCTGTCTGTCTGTAGATTTACTAACATTCAGTAGTCATTCCTGGTGACTTTTAAAAGCAAAGGTCCTGCCTTGCATAAGGTAGTTTCAGACCAACAGCCAATTTTACACTTGAAGCATAAGGTGACCAGTTATCATTAACACAGTTCTGCTATTCTGCACTGTTCTAACCATTTCAGTAAAGCAAGGAACAAAAAATACAACTTGAAGAGAAATCATTTGCTAGTGAAAGAATCAACTGGACCTTAAAACTGAGTCCAGCAAGAAACCTGGTTATCATGAACAAGAGATTCAGTCACATAAATGTATCGTTCAACAGAAGTAGTAATAGGAGTTATACAATGGAATCCTGTACAGTAGTAAAAACAGGTCAATTGCATATGTCAATGTGCACAATCTCAATGATGGCTTCAGGAGAGTACATAACTATGAGACCTGTCTAAAAGTTGAAAAATAATACTTATGAAGAGTGAAAAGCCACAATGGCAAGATCCTGCACGTTGGGGATATGGGGGTAGACAGGAGGGAATGTTGCTGGGAAGAGGTACATTACACAGGGCTTCAACTACATTGGCAATATTTTATTAAACTGGGTGGTGCTAGGTATATGGGTGTTCATTATAATACTGTATATATGATAATTTATAACTTACACATCTGATACGTCCCATAACAGCTGTTTTGAGATACACAATTTTAAAATTCACAATGCATTTGAGGTAGGTAGCAGGGCCTGTTAAATAAAAATTATAGGAGGCCATTGTTTTGGACTAAGCTCCTGCACTAGGCCCCAACAAACCAAACTAAAAATCAAAAGAGTCACCCATACTAAAGTTCCACTCCACCAAACCTGAACTAAATGACTTGATCTTCCATCAAATCAGGAGAGAACAGCCAATTTCCCAAACAGGCCAGTTTACATCTTCAATCTACATGTTAATTAAGTTCTGTTTTCATCCTTACGTGAAAAAACAGTAGCCTGAAATAACCTGATGTTAATCAGTTACTTTTCTATTGCACTGTCTCCATGCAGTGCACTAGGATTGCACCTGTGAATAGTCACTGCACTCCAACCTGGGCAACATAATGGGACCCTGACTAAAAAAAAAAAAAAAAATTGAGATTGCCTAATTTCTAAAGATCTGAGTATTCTACCTCCTGGTAGACCTGCCTTTTTCATGTAACGTTTCTGGCCCCAGAGGCTACAAATATTTACCAAAGTTGCAAAATCTTGCTAAAGGTAATTCAGAATTACAGTGGTCATTATATGAAATGTTCCAAAAGAACCAGACTATCTAATAAATACACTTGAATTCCAAGCCTCCTGAATTAGGCAGAGAATGGGATTCTTATTGATACTCAAAAATCTCAAATAGACAACAGGATTCTAAAATCTTTTTAAAAAGACCCATTTCACAAAGCTGATGAAAATCTGGAAATGCAAAACATTCCCCATACAAAGATAGAACTGACATGACTCCTACTGCCCCCCTCTATCCTACTTTGAATATTCACAGTGTACTCCTGAATATTCACAGTCCACAAACTCAATTGCCTTTATATGTTTCCTTATAAAGAAACAAGCAGCAAACTGTTTTAACTATTTCCTTATCAGAACCACCAAAAATTCAGGACATAATAGCCAAGTGACTTACACTCCCTAGACAAAAACAGAACTCAAGGCCATAGTTTTAAGATATTTTCATAAACCTAGGCAAGAGCTTCAAAAGTTTTCTGAAGAGTTAATGGTCTTAATTATAACTTACTACCCCAGGATATCTGACTTCTACCACTAACAAATGCACATGTTGGTGGAACCTGGGGAGGCCCAAATGGACAAAGGAGGTTATTACAGACTGCCTAGGTTCTTATGCCCACTGCCTAGAAAAAAGCCAAGATTGACTCAGCCAATAATGTAGAGAAAGAGTTTAAACTTGCAAAGCAGCTGAGCAAGGGGAATGTGAGATATTTCTCAAAACCACCTCACCGAGAATTCAGAGGCTAGGGTTTTTAAAGGGAATTTCGTGGTCAGGGCTAGGGACTACTGATTGGTTGGGAGTGTCATGAGGGATGTCAAAACTGTCTTCATGTCACAGAGCCGGTTTCTGAGAGGGGGCATCACAGAACCAGTGGAACCAGCTTCCTGTTGTGTGTTCTGGGCCCAAGTTGGGCCTCAAGTCCCTCAGAGTACAAAGTCTGCAAAATATCTCAAATACCATTCTTTTTTTTTTTTTTTTTTTTTTTTTTTTGAGTTGGAGACTCACTGTCGCCCAGACTGGAGTGCAGTGGCCGCTCCCGGCCACCGCAGCCTGGACCTGTTGGGCTCTGGCGATCCTTCCGCCTCAGCCTTCCGAGTAGCCGGAATTATGGGCATGCGCTACCATGCCCAGTTGATTTTTTGATTTATTGTAGAGATGAGGTCTCGCTGCCCAGGCGGGTCTCGAACCCGTGGGCTCAGGCAATCCACTCACCTCAGCCTCCCAAAGGCGCGGGATTACAGGCTGAGCCACCGAGCCCGGCTCTCAAATACCATTCTTAGGTTTTAAAATAGATACCACCTATAAAGTAAGTCCCCATGACCATCAGCTACTAGTCCCTGGGCAATTATAGAGGTAGTTTAGGAGGAAGGTATGCAGGAGGTGGGGGTCCCTGGAGATTGGAGCCACTTCTGTTCTTCAACCTCTGCTTTTGTTGTCAAGAAGATCTATGTAATCTGAGGGCCCATTATTTAAGACAAAATATGCTTATCAGCTTTGTGGAGCAGCTTCCTCCTCCTCGGGTCAGGGCATGATGATAATCAATTGCCCTCTATTGGAATGAAATCAAACTTAGAAACAACAGATTTGTTAAATTGTAACCATAGCTGCAGGTTTTTCAGAGATCAGGTCTCTTCTTAGCTTTTACCCTGTATCCTGATATTACTTTTTTTTTTTGAATCGGAGTCTCACTGTCACCCAGGCTGGAGTGCAAGTGGCACGCTCGGCCACCGCAGCCTCCACCTGCTGGACTTAAGCAATCCTTCCACCTCAGCCTTCCAAGTAGCTGGAACCACAGGCATGCACCACCACACTCGGCTAATTTTTTTGATTTACTGTAGCCACGCGGTCTTGCCAAACTGCCCAGGCTGGTCTCGAACCCCTGGACTCAGGCAATCCTCTCGCCTCCACCTCCCAAAGTGCTGGGATTACAGGCATGAGCCACTGCGCCCAGTTCTGACATTAGTTTTATATATGCAGTTTCAGAGGCAGAATGATACTCTCCTGAAAATGATATCAAGGACCCGACAAGCCCCACCTGGTCTACTTAGGAGCCAGGCGAAGCCTGAAATATATTAAATGACCTTTTGAAAGCCATACCCAACGTGTTTCAGCCCCATGGCAACCAACAACCTAGAATTACTTTCAGGCCTGCTCCCAGGATGCTTCTCTGATAAGCAACCCCT